GCTCACCACCCTTGAGAAGAGGAGTGCAGGGTTTGGTCTCAGTTCCACATCACAACGTGCAACTGTGAGACACGTTGCTGAAGAGGGGGCTTCCTGTCCTGCACCCAGGGCCCTCAGGACGGGCAGCCATGGGTGGCCTCCTCCTCCTCCTGGAACTTTTCTAGGGCTCTGGAAAGCATCCCATGTGGAGGGACCAGGCTCCATCTCAGGGCTCATGGTCTCAGCTTGGTTGCATTCAGGTGCTCTTCGCTGGGGAGTTCATGATGGACACACCCATCCACCCCCACTCTGTCCTTCTCCAGAGTTGCCACAGATGACAGGTGGGAACCCACAGCGATGGAGAACCATGAAATTCACAAGGACTGAGCTACCCAAGAGACCTGCAGCTCGGCACCCGGTATCCTCTTCAGAGCCCCTGGTGGGCTTGCTTCCTGCCCCACTGCACAGCTCATGCTCCCTATTCATATCGAGTGGCTTGCTCAAGAAGCGCTGGGGAACCAAACAAGTCCACAGGCACAAGAAGAGCAAGGCAGCGTCCCTTCAAGCCAAGTATCGTGGCGCAGCACCCTGGAGAGGAGGAGTGCCAGTTTTTGTCTCAGTTCCCCATCCAGATTTACCACTGTGTAACGTGCTGCTGCTGCTCTCCCCGGCAGCACAGTAATAGTCACCCTCATCGTCGGCCTGCAGATTTGCGATGGTCAAATGGCCGGTGTTGCCAGAGCGGGTACCGGCGAACCGGTCCGGGACCCCGTCTGCCCTGCTGCTGCTACCATAGATCAGCAGGCGAGGGGCCTGACCCGGTTTCTGCTGTAACCAGCTGAAACCAGACCAGCTGCTCCCACCACTTCTGTCGCAGGAGATTCTTGCAGTTTGCCCCAGAGGCGCGGACAGGGAGGGCGGCTGAGTCAAGGCAGGCTGTGAAGAGGCCCCTGCACAAAACAAAATGGAAACACCAATTGCCGCGGTCAATGCAAATGGCAAAAAGAGGAGACATATGGAATAAGCTTGGTCTTTGCCCCCGAAGTCAAGGAAACGGCCTCCCTCCCATCCTTACATGTGCAGAAGTGGAGAAGTGCCAAGGAAAGCAGGGCCCAGGCCATGGTGAGCTCTCCCACGGGGTCTGACCTGCCAGGGAAAGGAGATGGCAGGGGAGCCCCTTCTCGCCCCTTAAATAGCCCCGAGCAGAGGAACTGCCCTCCATGCAAATG